AAATAATTATTGAATTATTTCAATTATTGGTGTAAATTAAAGAATTAAGTAGAGTTAATCCTAGTTAAAACCCTTGTTGTTATTGCTATAATATGTAAAATAAAAATCTATCCTTCATTTTAAGAGTTTTATTTTATAATTAAAAGTAATCTGAATTACTAAAAACAGTTTTTCCTATTAACAAACTCTTTTCACCGTGCAAAACCGAGAAGGCACTGAACTTAAAAAATGTCAGCATGTAAAAGCCCGGTGGTTGTTGTTGATTTTTGTTTTCTTTTAAAAAATCTGTGACTGCTGGGCCCTTGGGGGCTCTCACCGTCACGTCTACCGTTCAGCCATGGCGGCTTTTCTTTTTTTCTTTTTTCTTTTTTTTTTAGTAGAATGGCGGCTTTTCTTTTGACTGACTACTTGCGCGCCGCTTCCCTCATTCCTCCGTCTTTTACGGTCTAATATATAGAAACAAAATTTCTTCGTTAAATTGCTGCCATTGCCTTGCTCTGTTCTCACTGCGAAACGATTTGCTAGAACCTGCCGCCGCATTCTACTCTTATGTGGGCGTCCATGTCCACTTCCTGTTCAACCGATTACATTACAATTCAAAGCCTCCGCCCGAAATTCTCTCCCGCTCAAAATAGATCTTTCTCTTTACCCTGCTGCGCCTTCAGACAGGGCGGTGTTAAGCTAAAACCCCAATTCAAGTCTCGATTGCTGTCGTCGAAACCCGAACCCCATCCCAAGCGAGGGGATTCAGTGAGGCGAAGTGTGATTAACGAAGCGGATGGCGAAGAGGAGAAGAGTTGGAAGTCTGTGGATGATGATGAGCAGTTCGTCCGATGGTTCCGTGAAGCCTGGCCGTACCTCTGGGCGCACAGAGGGGGCACTTTTGTTGTCATTATCTCTGGGGAGATTGTGTCTAGCCCATTTTTGGACCCCATTTTGAAGGCAAAATTTCACCTGGGCACAATTTTAATGCTCTTTGCTCTAAGCAATTTGATTTTGATTTCCCTGACGTTTTCTTGACTCCTTGTGGGTTTTGCATGCAGGATATTGCATTTCTACATCATCTGGGTATCAGATTCGTTATTGTTCCCGGAACCCATAAGCAAATTGACAAAATTTTGGCAGAGAGAGGTAAGTTAAAAGAAACACATTTCTGCGTGTCTTTATGAAACTTTAACCCTTTTCTCCGTTTTAGCTTACTTATGAAACTTAACCTTGATTTAGTGAAGAAGCTGATTATATTTCTAGTAGAAACAGACATGCTAGCCTAGTTTCTTCCTTGAATATCCCAATATCTTATTTCAGTTTGATATTCTAAGTTCTCTAAGCTTTGGTGAAAATACCCATGGTTTGCTCAAGAAATTTTGCAGCCCTGTCCAAATTAGTACCCTTTAGGCATGTTTTGTTTTAGCGGTATCATCCCCTCATTCTGAAGTAATGTTTAGTTTCTGCTACATTAGATGATGGTGGAGACACTTAAACAAGGTATGTAATTGCAGGACACGAGCCAAAGTATGTAGGTCAATATAGAATAACAGACTCTGAATCTCTAGATGCAGCAAGGGATGCTGCAGGGGGGATTCGTCTGATGATAGAGGCAAAACTTTCACCAGGTCCTTCAATATGCAATGTCCGTCGCCATGGTGATAGTAGCCGTTGGCATGAAGTTGGTGTTAGTGTAGCTAGTGGTAATTTCCTTGCAGCCAAGGTAAGAAAGTTACTGTCTCAGGGAATGTAAAATTAATATCTATATTACATGCTTGATAAGTGTTTCTTGGTGAGTGTTGCCATATGACTACCTGTATGAATCTTGTTAATTTCTTTTGTAGAGAAGAGGAGTTGTTGAGGGTGTTGATTATGGAGCAACAGGTGAGGTAAAAAGGGTAGATGTTGCTCGCATGTGTGAGAGGCTTGATGCTGGTTGTCTAGTTATACTAAGCAACCTGGGTTATTCCAGCTCCGGAGAAATTCTAAATTGCAAGTATGTTGTATATGCTTTGCATATCTGCATCTTGTTTTTTCACCTTTTTGTCCCTCTGACAACACATCAGCTCATTTTTTTCGCTGTTGTTGGCAACATTATTCCAATAAAAGTTCTATGTACAGTCCTCAGACAATTGAAAGTTTATTAGAAAACTAAGTAACTCTAATTAAAAATTGTGATTGTCAGTGGAGATAGGCTTATTGTATATGTCTTATATTTACAAAGGAGTTTTGTTAATTTTGGACATGCACATTCCTTGAATTATATTACTTTCCTGATGATGATTATAGCCTGACTCCTAATGCTTTATGTTTTTCTAAATTTAGCACATATGAAGTTGCCACGGCTTGTGCATTAGCTATTGGAGCAGATAAGCTTATTTGCATCATAGATGGTCCAATCAAGGATGAGACTGGACGCCTTATTCGTTTCTTGACTCTTCAAGAAGCAGATATGCTTATTCGTCAATGGGCAGAGCAAAGTGAGATAGCAGCTAACTATGTGCAGGCTGTTGGTGATGAGGAACTTGGTTGCCTCGGACACAATGATTCTGTTGCAGTTATCCCTTCTCCACAGAATGGGAAGGCTATTAGTCAAATGCACATTCCAACTTTTCAAAATGGTGTTGGTTTTGATGGTGGCAATGGACTATCTGGCTTTGCGATTGGAGGTCAAGAGCGTCAAAGCCGATCAAATGGCTATCTTTCAGAGTTGGCTGCTGCAGCTTTTGTTTGTAGGGTAAGTCTCCATGTTATCTCTTTCAATTTATTGAATACAGATGCTTTTACCTGTTATAAGTGTTTGTCTCTGTATGCTGGTGAGACGCCAATTTTTTTCTTCATTATCAGCGAGGTGTCGAAAGAGTTCATTTACTGGATGGGACTATTGGTGGAGTTTTGTTATTGGAACTGTTCAAAAGAGATGGAATGGGGACCATGGTAGCCAGGTACTCATTTTCTGCAGTAAAATATTTTCTTAGCAAATTCATTTCTGTCTATAATTTTTAAACCACTCGCTGTTTAACTATTTCTGACAATAATTTTGGCAGAATCCAGAATGTGTTATTTTCTTTGTTGTTAATGATAGGCCATGTTGTCAATGGAGTTAATTTGTCAAGTATTCGTACCACATTTGGTCTAGTCATGATTACCTCCTAGTTAGAATCATCATGATCTTCAAATTAACATTTAGAAATTATTAATACTGAAAATTAATGTTGATTAAAAAAATTTCTGTGGCTGTTATATGAATACTAAGTTCACTGGACTTTTGTGGCACTTGACATGCTTAGCTATTGTTCTAAGGTAGCTGTGCTTTCTAATAATCTGTGGCCAAAGTTATGGCCAATCAGATTGCTTATCTAGAAGGGTGCATTTATGTGGATGATGCGCTACCCTGTTGCTATTCCTGAAAGTTCTTATTCTAGATGTCTTACATGCAATTCTTGACTTCTCGCTATGTCTTACTAGTGATCTATACGAGGGAACCCGGATGGCTAAGGCGACAGATCTTTCTGGAATTAAGCAAATAATACAACCTTTAGAAGAAGCTGGAACACTGGTTCATAGGACTGATGAAGAGGTGTGCACTGCTCTTCATTTAGAGTTTTGTTTTATTTATAATTTTAGCATTGCATATTATTTTTATTTTTTTAATATTCTTCAGGTGAGAATTAGAAAAAATAAAAATAAAAATTTTGATCCTGTATGCTATGTTTATTTCTGGAGTTGGAATCACTAATGCTTTATTTGTTTTCATCATGCAGCTACTTAGAACATTAGACTCATTTGTTGTGGTGGAAAGGGAAGGTCATATCATTGCTTGTGCTGCTCTTTTTCCTTACTTCAAAGACAAGTGTGGAGAGGTTGCTGCTATTGCAGTTTCTCCTGAATGCCGAGGACAGGGTCAGGGGGACAAATTGCTTGGTATGATATTGTAGTACTTTTGTATTTCCTGGCCTGTGCTGTGGTCTTGCTTTTCTTCTTCTTATCCTCTTGTGACCTGTGATTCTGATTTGCTACTGAAAGAGATACAGTACGAGTGGTGTTTATCAACATGATGAGAACCTAAATTTACATAAAACCAATCAACCTTCCCAAATCCAACCCCCCCACCCCCCTCCAAAAAAAAGAAAAGGAAATATACTTTTAAAAAATGCACACTAGAACAAGCCAAAATTCTTAGTCATCATTCTCCTTTAAGTCTACAGGTTGCAAAGGGATGAATTCATGAATATACCATTGGCTACAGGAATCTAAGTACTGATATGTTCTGATAGGTTCCAACACCATGACAACATTCTTTTTTCCCCCCTAATTAAAAGCTTCCTGCTCTTGAATGGCTTTACCCTGGAGTTTTGTATACTGGGTCTACATTAATGTAATTTTCTTAGATGTGGGTAGTACTTTCTAGAAGATGGTGAACGTAACATGCATATGTGTGTGTGTCTGAAAAGAAGTATGATGTGATGATACCCTAAAGGGTTATTGATTGTTTCTTGAAATTGTTCTGTTTTTTACTGTCATTCCTGATACTTATCATCAAGAACTTTCTGATTTCAATCATATATCTGCAGATTACATTGAGAAGAAGGCATCCTCTCTTGGATTGGATATGCTTTTCCTGTTGACAACCCGCACTGCTGATTGGTTTGTATTTTTCCTCTGCTATTTGAAAGTTGATATACAGATGATATATGCATGCTGTAGCAGAACCTGAAATTATTTTTATTTGTGGTGTCCAAACTAAAAGTAAATCACATGTTTTCTGGTAGGGGAGAGATATCCATAACCATCCATCACATGGATTTACCATTGCACTTGCATACATGCTACTAATGCCAGTAAATGATGGTTTTGCAGGAAGTAAGCAAATTGTGTACATAGTTTTTAACCTTTAAATCTTGTATTTCATTTTGTGGCAACAGGTTTGTTCGGCGTGGCTTCCAAGAATCTACAATTGACATGATACCTGAAAAAAGGAGGGAAAAAATTAACCTATCTCGTAGATCCAAGTATTATATGAAGAAGTTGTTGCCTGATAAGAGTGGAATTACCGCTGATAGAACTTTTAAATAAGGTCGCAATTGCAAGGCATCAAGTCATAAATGATTTTGTTGGAGAAATCTTTTGCCAGTAAGTTTAAAGATTGATCAAAGGATCTTGCATCAGCTAATTGGAATTACAAGCCTAGTGGGTTTATAACCATTATCATGTTGTTGTAAACTTTTCTAAAGGAATTGTGCCTTGCAAAATAACATAGAGAGTGATAAACATGCTCAAAATACTTTATAGGCAGTTGAGAGTTGTTAAGGATTAGGTTTTAGGTTTACCTTGAGATTCATAAATTATAATAAATGGAGCAATTGCCAAATTTAATCATGGTAGTTTCGATGTTGCTTGGCATTGGTTTGCCCTTTTTATTTTTTTATTTCTTTTATCTTTTTATTGGGTTAGAAAATAGAATGAGAAACCTTCATACATAAGCTGCTCCCAGGTTTACCCTTTTGTACCTCTTTTTATATGAAGAGCTACCCATCATCTCATCAGTCATCAAGTAATCATCATAAGCATAAATTGTTTATACAGGCAACAAATTGAAGGAATGGAGATGAAAAATGTATGAAATCAACTATTCAGTTCCATCTTGGAACACAAGTGTATTATACAAGGAGACACAGTAAAAGGCAAAATATTTGGTCCCATTTATTGTAATCCAGTTAATAAGAAATTGCGCAATATGAAACTGCGGCAGAATCAGTATTGCAACTTGTCTTATCATTGAACCAAGAAACATCACCAGCTGAGATTGTCCAATCAAGCTCCTTCAGTTTTAGGAGGGCCCTTCCACTTGAAGTTATCTGCATAAGACTTCACCTGCAAGAATAAGCCGCTCAGTGAGCCACGTTACAGATATCTTAAATTCATGTCAGTGAACACAGGTGATGGAAAGAAATATTATACCACAAGCCCCAGAAAAGCCTTCTCGATCACTTAGCCCAATTTTATTTATTTATTTATCATCCATCACTCAGCAAAACTGGTGAGATAAAATCTCATAGCACACTAGATTATAACATATACATAGTGCATGGATTTATAGAAAGAATAACAACAACAAAAATTACTTTTACTCCACAGAAAATAGTAAAGATAGATGTAGTGTGCAAACAGTTATTTCCATTTAGATCAAACAGTCAAGGCCTAGAAACACGCATGCATAAGCATCATCCTTTAAAATCCGGGGTGATTTGCTCATATAATTGCTAAAAATAACAGCAAAGGTGTTAAAATTAGAGTCACTAACCCTCAACAACGGTGTCTGGTGCTTCTTAACCTGCAGATAAGTTTAAATGTAGTCAATAGTAACATCAGAGACAGAGAGAGAATGTTGCATTGCAAAATTGAACTGAACAAAAATAATGGTTAAATAATTAGAAAAAGAAATTCTTAAATTGAATAACCAATTGCAATAATTCCAGTCCAACAGAATGAGAAAGATTTAATCTAACAATCATTTAGAGTAGGTAAGAATCAAGTATGACAGAAACTTGATAAGTGAAAGTGCTAATATGTTAAGCAAAAATAATGCATGAAGTCCTAGCTATGGATTTGATTTAACAAGTTTATCAGAGATCAGAATCACACAATGCATCTTTGTTTCTTTTCTTTATTCTTTTCTAAGTAATAGCAACAGTTAATCTTGCAAAAATAAAATAAAATAAAATAAACATGCATACCACATACTGCCAACCATGTCTCTCAGCAAATGCCTTTGCAGCCTCTTCACTATCAAAGCTGAATCCAGCATCACCAACATTGGCATAGGGGTCCCCTGTGGATGTCCAACCCATCAATGGGTTCTCCCACCTACAGAATATTGTTTAGTGACAGGAAAATACTGATATGTGAACTATTCACTAACTATAATGTAGTCACATGAGCGTTTTAATGACCTATATGTACATTTCATCAAATTTCTATCCCCGGATTTGATCAAGTCATTGAAATATGTGGTTATGTTTAACAGAGAATAAAAAAAAAAAAGAGGAAAAAAGGTGATGTTTCCAGCAATGAAGTTCTGTGGCACCTAGAATTACTGCTAGCAAATAAAAAATTGATGTGGTTACCGGTTAGAAATTATTGTTCACCTAATCATTATTATAAGACAAAATACTTCAAGAATAGCTTTGTTTGCCGTCGCATCTATAAGCATACACCAGTAAAGATATGTACAAATCACACTTGAGTAGATACAATACCACACAAAAAAATCATTCCCATTATAAAAGATTCAAATTTTATGGCTAAAATTATAGCCAACAACGTCTTGCATGATTGACAGCTCAAATAAGCTTACATACTTCTGTGTTGACAAGAAATTGATCTTCCACCTTCCAACTTTTCCCGATCCTTGCTGAGTTGCAGTTCTAGCAGGTGAGTAAATTACAACCTGCCCGACATGCCACCAAAAGAAAGAATTGAACTTTCAAATTTTAAGCATATAATACCAGTACACATGTAAATTCAGAAGCAGTAGGCAGCTCCCAGAAACAGTCAACACTACAGGCAAGCCTTAATCTTTATTGACTCACAACACAGACAGGTAATCATGTTTTTATCAAAACCAATTACGCTCTGAACTACAGTAGTGCAACATCCAACTTTATTAGAAAATGCTAACAAAAACTACAATATGATTTTCTTATTTCTCTTTAAAAAATAAAGCATAAATTATCCAAAAGCTAAATAACTCTAACGTGCCCTTTTTTACAGATTCAATTTTGCATTTCTTATTTTCTTCTACAAATTCAAACCTACAAAATGCCCCCGCCCCTCTTTTTTGTCTATTTCTACCCCTTTCCCAATAGTATCATGAAGATGCCCCAAATTAATGTACAACAGCAACCCTTGTTGTTTAAAATCAAATTGAAATTAGAAGACATTAACCCAATCAAAACTCAAAACCCTCGAAACACAGCAAAAATTTATATCGATCCGTGGAGAACAGCGCGAAATGGAATGAGAAATTGGGAAATAGGCAGATTAACTTACCTTCCTCCTAAGATGTTCTTCGGGGATCCCAGAAACCATGCCGATCTCCCCAGGCTTGACCTCAACCAATGCGTCAGAAGAAAATGGTCTCGAAAGAGGACATAGCGTCGTGCGAATCGAGCGAGCACGGCTCGTAATCTTTTGCAGAGGGTTCGCAGCCATCTTCTACGACTGAATGCGGGCTTCGGTCGTCCGCTGTCCCTCCCCTGATATATGTAATTATCCGGCTTCCTCTTCTGTGAACTCAGTTACTCAGGAGCAAATTAATTACTGATGAAAACA